ACAAACTACAAAATTTCTCTGTCTCTTGATAAAACATTAACAACATCGTAACTTAATATGTCATCTCACCATATAAGCAAACAAGCTAGAGATTAAAGAGCTCTGAGCATATTTGCGAAGTGCCATCATTGCACACTGGTAGAGAGACACCACACAGGCACTGCCTCATTTAAAAAGCAAAATATTTTCTCATCAATATTTTTTTTGTTAATCTATGCTTCTCAGTATTCGTATCCTACGATTGATTCCCATGTTAGATCGTTTTAGAATCACACACACACACACACACACACATCAACATACAATTCCTTAGTGAATACTTCATTTAGTGCTAAGACGATCCCGTATAGCATAGGCCGTTAAATATTGATAGTTATCGTTGCTAGTTTAGCACAGACATATCTTAAAATGGATGGCAGATCTGGGGCATAATATAATCCCCGAAACACTGATTCGCATAGATAATATAAGGCAATTCATAATATAAAATAGGTATATATATAATAGCTACAATATACAATATAACATACAATGGATAATATACAGCAATTAATAATGGCGTCGGACAAACCGTGTGGGGACGAGGAATGAGAACTATAATTAAAAATCACACGCGCACACCCGCACTCACACACGCGCACACACTCACACACACCCGCGCACGCACGCACACACACTCGCGCACGCACGCACACACACTCGCACACACATAAAAGCTGTTATCGCAACTCGACTTCAGCATCCGAACGCATCATAACGCTAATGTAACATAGTAATAGTACGAATTATTCACTGCTACTGTATAGTGATGTATTCCCGTATTATCTTGTATTATTTTTATATTATCATTTTGTATATCTAGTTTTAATAACTATTTCGTCGCTGTAAAACAAAATCTAACACTAAATCGTAATTTGTTCACTGTATATGCAACAACTTCTCTTGCAAACAAGGTCATGACGACATCACTTGCTAAGTAGCACGCAAACTAATACCAAACTGATTAATCGAGCAAATTGCATTTGTATAAAGCAGAAAGAAACTGTTCAGTATTCGTTATTATATTTATCGCAGTTAATGTACGACGAGGACTGAAACACACGCACAAGGGAATACGACACGAACTAAACCAGACGCACACACACGCATACAGATGTGGTAGGTTGGACAGACACGAGCACGGACACACACACACACACACACACACACCAGACAACGCACACGCACACGCACACGCACACGCACATCGCACACGCACACGCACACGCACCGACGGCACACGCACACGCACACGCACACACACGACACGTTACACACACACACACACCACACACACAACACACACACCACACCACGATTAGAACGTATACACGCATACCGCACCATACACGCTATACACGCAACATACATCGCATACGCGCATACCGAATCATAACAACGAACACGAACACACACGCACACACGGTGATTAATTATATAAATGGCGAGTATTAATTTATGTTAGCAAGCTTAGCAACAGTATCTTAACGAACGCTTTCTCACATCTGTGAATTTCTGTCGAACCAACAATACTTCTTAAACAAATAGGGCCGTTCTTTACTTACGTTTCGAGAAATAAACCGATGCTAAATCGCGATGGAAATACCGACATAATTTGTCGTTGTTCCACAGCGTAATAATTCGCGCAAGTTCGTCAGAGGGTATAATCTCTAATTAATCCGAAACTGCGCACTGCTCCACTGCCGAATGTATGACGTTCACTGCGCAGGTCTCACTGCTCACTCGGTTGATGAATGGCCATAGAAATACTGGGATAGTGCGCGAAGACTTCACACAACCGCACAAATAAGGCGCGGAATTCCAAATAATCGCACTTAAAAGTGCCGATTTTGGAGCGCGATGTCTGACTCGCGATTAATTAGGGGTATATTGCGTTAACACCTTGTAATAATCTCTGGTATTTCCGATCGCGCATGCAAATAACCGGCATTTACATCCCGCTTATTTCGCGCCAGTTTGTAACCGCGCCTATTATCTAATTCTACAATTCCGCTTAACCTTTACATAGCTACCACCGGCCACTTGAAGCGTTTCAACTGTAACATACGCCGCGCCATGCGCGCCACACTGACACAATAAAACATATTAGGGGTTTTTTTTTTTTATTATATATATTAATAAATAGATACATACAATATATATGAATATAGTATAATATATATATATATACATATATATACATAAATATACATAAATATATAGACAAATATATATATACATAAATAGATACATAAATATATAGACATAAATATATACATAAATATATAGAACATATAGTATATATATACCCAATACAAAATACCATAAATACATAGCACGAATTATACTAATACATAATAGATACAAATATATAGAACAGTAAGATGTACTATACATAACTATATATTTATATTATATCTTATTTAGATGTCAGCTCGTCTGCGCGCAATGGCGGCGCGTGTGTTTACAGATGAAAACGCTTCAAGTGTCTGTGCATGCTACAGTATGAGAATAGTAGGCGTCTGTTAAAACCTTACTTAAACTTTCACAGCGGCCCGTCCGTCCTTTCAGGGCTCCTCGCATGCCGCATCCACCTGCCGTCTCACCCCCCGCCGCCCTCCACCTCTCACTCAATCGCATAATTTCGCGAAACCACCATTAGTAAGTAGACTCTCAAACATCTTGCCATAATACTATACTATATATTATATTTATATATATTAGTTAGTATTATATATAATAAATGAAAAGTCACCCACGAACACCCCGTGTACATAAACAGCTACATATTATATTATAAAGAGCACATATCAAGAGTACCTAAAGGGAGATTATGTACTCCTCCATTATGTTACTCTTCACTATATATATATAATATATTTAGTCTTTTCATATATATAAACATCAAAATACACAACACATAGTATTTTCTGTCTTGTCTGCTAGTGGTGGTGGTTCTGCAAGGTATTAGCTTCGCAGCCCGTGCTGGTGCTTGATCAGTGTTGTGTAGTGGAAGTGCTCCTTGACTGCATTCGTGTGTGTGTTGGTGTGTGCTGTGTGTGTGTGGTGTCGGTGGTGTGTGTGTGATGGCTGTGTGTGCCCCGTGGGTATGCGTGTGTTGTTGCGGTGGTTCCATTGTGTGCTGTGTGTGGTGTGGTGGCGTGCTTGTTGCGTGGCTGGCGGTCCCTCAGGCGCATTTAGTGAGTGTTGCTGCGTGTGCGTGTGTGATGTGTGATGTGTGTGTGCGCTCGCACGCCTTGCCCGTGTGTCGTATGCGTGCACTGTGTGGCCTAGTGGTGTGTGTTGTGTGGGTGTTGTATTGCCGTGTGTGCTGCTATCCTTTCCTTGTGTCGTGTGTCTGTTGTTTCATCTGTGTTGTTCCCTCTTTCAGCCTGGTGTATTTGTGTTGTGTGCTGCGTGATTGTGTGGTGGTGGTGTGTTGTATGTGTGTTTGTTTTTTTGGTGTGTGTATGTCTGTGTGTCGTGACTTGTGTGTGTGTGTTGTTGTGCTGTGTGGGAGTTGTGTGTTGTGCCTGTGTGTGTTTGGTCCGCGTCTGGTCGCGCCCCCGATTATCGTGCGGCTAGGGCGACGCGGCCCCCTGCCCCCCCCCCCCTGTGGCCCCGCCGCCCCTGCGATTGTCTCCAACTATCTGTGTTATTAGTAGAATGATAAGAATAATCCACCACAAGAGCGTGAACCAAGAGCGATCACCAAATAGAACAACGCGAAGACAGGTTAAAGCAGAGTACGGAACGCAGGTGGGGCGATAGAGATGGAAGTGAGAAAGACAAAAAAATAGGCGAGTGAAATCACGAGATGAGCGGACCGAGACAGACAGAAGGAGGACAACAGACAGACTGACTTAATTATAGCAAGAGGAGCGAGAGAGGAAGCAGAAGAGAAGAGCGAACAGAGCAGAGGAGCAACAGATCTTTAATATTGTCATAACAAGCTTATACGCTATATTTATAAGTACTACTATTTACAAGTATATAATGATAATAATAATAATAATAAAATAATATTAATAATCATAACCACAATAATAAATAATAATATATCCCAGGTATGGACCGTTACCCAGAAGGCCCCGCTATACCTGAATGTATATATCATCAGGGGTTAATAATGCCAAATTATGTAGAATTTAGTTTTTTAACTGGTTTGTTTACATAATTCGCCTTTCCTTCTCTCTCTCTTTGACTCCCCACTTCCCTGTCTCTCTCTCTCGCTCTGACTGCCTATTTTATAATTAATTTTTGACTTCAGTCTCTGTATTACTGTCTAAGTATTAGTGCTGTAGTTTGATGATTCGTGCGACGATTTAAAAATCTTAAAGGCATTTTTGAAAGGCCCTGCTTAATTCGTCGGTGTATGTAAATTAACTGTCGGTGTAATTTAAGTTGATCGTTTTTACCAAACGAGTAGCAGACTTTGTTAAACTATGCATGTTAAACTAGAGGCTATATTGCATCAAACACGCAGCAATATACAGTATAATGGTCTGTTTAACTGGTATTCTGGACGAAGAAATGCACGGCAAAGCGTCGATTGATTCAAGGAATGCCAGTAGCATGAAATGATGGCATTCATGGATGGAAGACGATGTGTTCTTGTCACAGAGTTTAGCTTCGTTTGTACATTTATATTCTGTTATATTTAATATCTATATAGCATAATACCGCTAACGTCTACTGGAAATGTTTGATGATGAAATAATTTGGTATTATTGTTTTCTCAAGTCTTTTTTTTTGTTTTTGTTTTTTTGATTGATTCTCTGGCTTCTCCGTCCGCCGATTCCACTTCCCCGCTGCGCTCGTCAACGTTGGAGAAATCGGCAATGATGAAGTAACCGCCTTCGGGTACAACCGACGGGATCCCAGCCTCCTCGAGATGCTTTACGAGCAAGTCCCGCTTACGCTGCATCGAGGATGTAAAGCTACCGAGGTAGCTATCGGAGCTATTCAACCTCGTCAGCTCTCGCTCCAACCCAATAGCAATCGCTTCCTGAGCTGGAGTGTGAACGATACCAATAGAGGTTCCAAGCACCGACCTGACAGGACCCGTGAAGGTGTTGGAGGCGATGACCCAGCCCCCCGTCCTCCACCCCGTCCCGCTGAACATCTTGCCGCTGCTGCTGATGTTGAGCGTGCGTTGCCACATGTCCGGCGACGCGAACGTGGCTGCGCGTGTCGAATGTCAACCACTCGTAGACCTCGTCCGAGACGACGACGAGGTCGCGTCGGCGCGCGACGTCGGCGAGCATGCGTAGTTCGTCTCCGTCGAACACCTTGCCGACGTGGTTGTTGGGCGAGTTCAGGATCAGCATCTTCGTCTTCGGGCCGCAGCATCGCTCCAGCTCATCCGCATCGATCTTCCAGTCTCCGCTCGTCGTTGCCGTCTCACCTCCCTGCTGCTGCTGCTGTTTCTGCGGCCGCATCGGTACGAAGATGGGCGTGCCTCCTGCCATGTGCGTCATCTCATCGTAGTACGGCTCTACGACGAGAACCTCGTCGCCAGGATCCTCACACGCCGTGATGCAGGCGGACAGAGCACAGAACGCTCCGCACGTGACCGTGATGTTGTCGGCGTTCAGTCGTCGGCCGTGTAACGGCGAGTACATCGTCGCTATCGCTCGCACGAGGCGCGCGTGCCCGAAGTACGGTGCGTACTGGTGCAGCATCGCGTCATCGCTGAGTACTGTGTCAGAGAGCGCCTGCTTCATGTAGTCGGGAGGAGAGAA